GTCAAAGCTTCGTTCTGTGAGAACACACTTGCGCTGCTCTTTGCAAGCAGTATGTGTCAACCTTGTCGACTGCGGCTGATCATCTGATATCTGTATCTATCAGTCGACTACTCGAACACTATCTCGAGTAGATCCGACCTCATGGGATCTACGCCGCACAAGTTGGTTATGCGGAATCTTGTTCTTTCGTAGCGTTTTTCGCGTTGACCGATGTTGACAGAGCGAAGGGCTTCAATGAGCACAATGAGGGAGGCTTCTGTGTTCTTGTCTTCCGGTCGCATCAGGACGTGATTAGACTCTGATAACGTTGGAGTGCTGTGGGAGAGTCTCAACTTGATCCACGTGTGGGCTCGATATGAGGGGATAGAGGAGCTGTCACAACTGAAGAAGACAAGGTTCTTGCCCCAAGAGCCACAGGCAGATAAGCATACACATGCAGCAGCACTGTGAGTAACGGTCCAACTCAAAAACCGTTGGGGGAATAGTGAGCCTCGTAGAGCGAGACTAACAAATTACATATGCTAAAGATGCATAACACATGTGGTATGACATGTCGTACGCGACCGATTCTGATAACTGATGAGATCAGGATAAATAACATCATCATAAATTATGATGTATTATGGTTCATAATACGGCTGAATCAAGCCTTCAAACTTTTCGGTGTGGAAAATATGTTTCAGGATGAGCTTTGAAGCTTCTGGTGCTGAATCAAGGGCAAAGAGCATCAGGACCTGAAGAGGGATCATTTTGTTTTCATCTCAGCTTCCGCGCTATTTTGCTGATGTTATTGAGAAGCAAATCAAGAGAGTGCTCTCGAACTTCAAACAGGGGCACGAATCTCAGAGCGCATGGTCCTGGCACCCCAATCGGGCTCGTCCTTACCGATTTCGATGATGAAATGGCGGTGGAAATCATTAAGCTGGGATATATGGAAAAGAGAAGTGCACCCTGGAAGGTTCTGCCAGCTCTTTTAACGGGTTTTTGATCACTAAACTCGATAACAAATCTTTTGCAGCGCGCTCACGAAAACACCTAAGATACCGACTGATATCCCAAGATGGGAGCTTTCGAATGGTATGGGTCTGAGGTTGTGGAATCCGATGATGATGTCGACTAAGATAATTGATTATTATCCACTCCATATATTGAAGTATATTCAACTTATTGCATTTCCGTTCAGTATATCTGCTCACTTGGAAGATTCGCCCGAGACTCGGGCCCCGAGTTGTGAGGGCACGGTTGCCGATGGAACGGCAGAAGATTCCGTCCTCTGTTGTTAGTGTTTGAATTTTTAGTGTTCTTACAGATTCTAACTCGGTCACGATGAAAAGTTACAGGGAGTGGGCCCTTATCAAATTATTACCCTGTACGTGTGGATGTACGGTAATCTTTCACTCCCTCGTGCAATTCACTCAAACGCAAAACAGTACTTTCCTCGAACAACGACTATCATCAGTAATGACATGTTCCTTTAATAGATCATCGGCGGTCTACTTTGCAAATTCCTCAGGCATCTCTACCTAAAATAACATTCGCATTGTAAACGATATCAAAAGTCAACCAAGCCCTCTCAGGAAAGGATGGTGCTCCCATACAGTATGGGCCATACTTCGCCACCCGGAATGGGAAGCGCAGGTTCGAATCCCCCGCAGGTCATGCTCAACGCAACCCAGAAGTGGCCTCATGTATAGAAGTTTAACACACGAGTCCGGGTAAAAGTGTACCGAAACCAACGATCATTCCTCAGAATTTTCTCCCAGAATTCTCATATTGTGACCAACACAGGTAGTTGACCATTTGCATATTTTTTCACACTGCATCGCAGACTACTGTAGGTTTTCAGTGAGAATCAAAATAAAAATATGACATTTTGGAAATTCGTACTGGAGTACGCACAGCTGAGATGATCGATCGTTCAGAAGTGGGGAAGGGGAGGCCCTAAGTCGTCCCGTACATGCCTTAACTTAAGGCCCTTAAGTCTTAGAGGAGAAGTTGAAGAAACCAGTAGTGGTCCCAAAGTAAATGTCGTTCCAAGTGGTGCAGTCGCGTTGTTAAACGGTGGCGAAGGAGGGGTTGAAGTTATAGATAACATAGGGCGATCACGAGTAGATAATTTCATTCCTGATCTAGGTAGCATTCCGTACAGCTTCTGTAACACAACTAGATAGAGCGATACTAGTGCAAACTGAGAGAGAGTATACGAGCGAGTGGTTATACGAGCTCGAAGTACAGAGTATATAGAGATTCTGATTGAATCCTTAGATCCAAAGTCCTTTATGTTTTATCTTATAATCAGAAATCAGCAGGAGGTATCCAGTGTGCCATGTCGTCCAACACTACTATGTGCCGCTGTGTATTATCCCAGCTCACCTAAGCTATATACTCAGTCTGATGGTACCACTAGGCTTTGTTGTTGTTCATGCGTGCAGCGGACCGCACCACGCGGCACACAAACGCATAGTTTTTCCCCTTTTTCATAGAGCGAGGTAGAATACTTCGTGGGGATTACCCAAGTATCACAACCACTATTAATGTCATCACCGA